TGGAATCCATCGTGGCGGATTTCTTGATGGAACACTTAGAGAAATACGACCTACTTTCCCTAGCACAGCATGGATTCCGTCAAAAGAGATCATGTACTACCAATCTGCTCCTGGCCCGCGATGAATGGACAAAAGCGATCCAGTTGACGTGGTTTACCTGGACTTCTCCGAAGCGTCCGATCCAGTGAGCCACGAAATACTGCTCCGTAAGCTGTACAATTTTGGTATCAGAGGCCTCGCGCTTGATCGGATTGCTGCGTTCCTCCAACAACGGACTATGTCGGCTCGAGTCTCTAATTCACTGTCCCCTATCGCCGTTTCTCGCGGAGTCCGCCGGGACTCTGTGCTTGGTCCTCGACTTGTTCTCTTGTACATGAATGACCAACCGAATGTCCTAGGACCACAACCATTATTGTTTGTAGACGATGTCAAAATCTGGAAGACAGTGACAAAAATTGGGGGTTCGCTGGAACTCCAAGAATGCAGCTCACAAATGGTCTATTGAGAACGACATCCAATTTAAAGTCTCCAAATGCAAGGTGATTTTGTTACGCCACCATGAGCGATTTCCTTATTTTCTCGGAAACAAACTACTGCCTCATGCATCAACAGAGAAGGACTTGGGTGTTATAGTCCACGAAGACCTGAGCTGTTCTGATAACTGCGCCAGGGCGTCATCAACCGCACTCAAACATGTCGGTTTACTTAAACGTGTTTTCGGTCGTTTTGAACCATCTTTATTCTCACGTCTGTTGTCAGCATACATCTGGCCGCATATTGAGTATGCCTTCCAAACTTGGAACCCCTGGTTACGACGTAATCATAAGATTTTAGAACGTCCACAAAGGCTCGCCACGAAGATGGTCAAAGGACTCTATCATGATTCATACATGGAGAGAATGCAGTCGTTGGATCCATACTCTGCTTAGTATCGCCGGATTCGAGGAGACTTGATTTTGGTGTACCAAATATTACACAGCCCAAACCACCCTTGTCGCCGACTTCTGACGTTGTCATCAAATGATCATCTACGGGGACATCCATTCAAATGGGTACTCCAAAAATCTCGACTGGACTGCTGATGTCATTCCTTTACCGTCAGCGTGCACTGCCTGGAATTCCCTACCATCTCATGTTGTATGTGCCGAGACGATTGATTCTTTCAAGGTACAACTTGACGAATCATTAACAAACATTGCATTCCAACATCCATGAGAACACAAAACAACCAAATGCAGCATATGGAATTTTGTTCATCACTGTTACAGTTCAACTCGTTTTAACACCCTATGGGACAAGAAAAGCATCTGCTTGTAAGTAATGCCCATGATAAAACTTGGACTTTGGATTGCTCAAACAAATATTTTGTGTCGTTCCACGATTAGGAACACTCTCACCCTGGATTGCCTCTAACAATCCAACACAGGAGTGCCTGGTTCAAAATGAATTTCTTAAGCACTCTAGCATCACGTCGGCATCGTACACAAGCAAACGAGCAAAGATATATTGTCCATTCTAGCCAAATTAGTATTTTCGGTTCATCAATAGATAGCGAATGAACGAATTCACATTATACAAACTGAGAAATCCTTCTTACAGTGAACTATTCAAGCCACTCCAGATCTCTTATACAGGTATGCGATTGGTAAGTGATAAACGCACAAGTCCACATTCAGGTAAACTCAGCCTTTGTTTTTCAGTCTGGAATTCTTTGCGAGCTAATAGAAAATTTTCATCAGCATAATTACAGTTCCAACTGTGCAGATACCAGAACAAACCATGGTTCCAGTTCTATCCGTTATCGGTCACATGGCATGACGAAAAATGGTGAGAACGCTGATCGCATTTGTGACGGCCAAAAAATCGAGCATGGGAATGTTTAGCCAACGATCGATACCCCAAGGAATGGTAGTCAATCAAACGGTATCGTGTGGCTGTGCCATAGCAATAGTCAGTTGGATTGATTGAACGCACAGGAACAATAAAAACCCATCGTACTAGGCGTACGTATGCTCACAATAAAAAGTACGAATAAAAGTTTCAGATAATTGTTTAGCAATCCATCTTCATACTTAGCACGACATTAATCTAAATTCTAACTGAAAAAATGGGCAATGCAGATACTGACCAGGATAAACAGACGAAGACTCTACACTTGTGTGATTTCGTCTTTTGTGTGATTTTACCAGGTTCAGAATGGAACTTTCGAAAACACGTAAACCATTGCTCTTGTGAAAACATAAGGGGAGCAAAGATGATAATGTTCGTCACGTAGTTGGTGCTATTAGATGCCCCATGACCGAGATAATCGCCTTTTTGTCGAGTCAGATGATTTTTTTTATTACACCCTTACAGTGATGAACAGCAGACGGGGCAAACCCCATAGTCACGAGGATCTGCTGTTTAGTCATGGAAACCGGTAACCTAAGCCCCGAGACTTGGAGTGGTGAACCATATAAGGCCCCGATAGATAAGGCGTGGTATTGAACCGGACAACAGCAAAGCTGCCTAACATATTTCTACATCTTTCCGCTCACTGCACATGTACTATTTGAGGCGGAAAATAGCGACGTGGTTAGACCCCGGTTTGGCATGAATTTATAAAGAAGCACACTGGAGACCTTGATGGGTGGAGAAACAAGAGATAAAGAATATCGTTTAGTGAATAAACTGTTCGATACGATTCACACCTAAAAACATAAGTAAAGATGGTACAAAATGTACGGTGACCAAAGAATTAGCCTCCGCCATACTTCGACATCTGACTCTCTACAGAGAGACATATATCCACGAACAACAAAAAGCATTTCGACCAGGTTGCGGTTGTATCGACCAGATATTTATGTAGCGTCAAGTCCTTGAACTACGCCATGCAAACCGTCGATCAACGGTTGTCGTGTTCCTTAACCGAAAAGGAGCCTTCGACTAAGTTAATCGTGAATCCCTTATAGGTTCGCTTCTTTGTGAAGAAATGTCGCAGAAGTACGTCAGTTTACCCTACTCACGTACCTATCGTAGCGTAAGGGTCAATGGCCAGCTGAGTCGGTCGTTCGTAACGGTGTAGCAGTGTTCGTCCAGGGTGCCCTCTTTCGCCATTCCTGTTCAAGTTCGTCATAC